AGAGAGAGAGAGAGAGAGAGAGAAGGAAAGATAGAGGAAAAATAAAAGAAAAAAATGTTTCATTTTTATCACTTAACAAATATCACCTAAGAGTAGAGCTTTTGGCAATCTTAGATATCACTATTTTGTGGTCAAAGAAACTATCACACAGTGGCAGACCTGGGATTCTAAACCAGGTCTACTAAGACTAAGACTAAGACTGAGACTAAGACTAAGACTAAGACTAAGACTGGGTAGTGTTCTTTCCTCTATATGATGATGGCTCTACATGAAGAGCTGTTCAAAAACATTGAGTAAGAACCTCACAGGGGATTAAGTCTAATTCCTATCTCCAGCATGAGTTCCCTTCCACAGTATTCTTGTCAAGGTGTCATCTACACTTTGCCTAAAAATTGCCAATAACAGAGAGCTTACTACCTCAAAGGTAGCCCATTCTTCTTTTACAAGTTCTAATTTTCAGGTAGCTTCTCTTTATGTTGAGTCAAAATGAGCCTCCTTGTAGTTTCCTAATTCTTCCCTTTGGCACTAAGTAGAACACCACTTTCTGATAACAACACTTTAAAGATTTAAATTAGCCAAAATAAATCTCTCCCAAATTATCTCTTCAACAAAGGAACAATTAAAATCACAGAGGAAGTTGGTAACAGAAGCAGGACTTAAACCTCAATCTTCAGGAATCTTAATCCAATCCTTTATCAAGGGGTTGGGTATAAAATCTCTATGTTATCTCTTCCTGCTGACTTGGATTAATACTGGATAGTCTTTCTTCTAGTCCAATCCTAGATTAAGTAACAGAACTAGAACTTTTTAGGATGACTAATTTTTTTTAATGTACATATGCATACAGCATATTTGATTAACTGGTAACCTTAAAGTAGGATGGTCATTGGCCTTATCCTTAATAAGGAAAGGAGTAGAGTTAACATTTTCAGCCTTTTTCACCCTATTTCCTTGGCTCTTATCCAAGTGGATGTTTTCGTATTGAATTCTAGGCCATTCTGTTGACAATATGAGCCATAAATATATACTGATGGGATGAATAAGTCAGTATTAATTGTCTATTTCTACAGATAGAGGCAGCCATAAAATGCATCATATGAACTGAAACAGAATGAACTCTGCTTTAATTTTCATTGGAAGAAAATGTTTCATAACTAATTGCTTCACAGTTGCTAGCAATGAAGCCAAGGATTATATTGGGGCAAGGATTCATAGAATCTTAACTCTACTTAGACTTTCAGCAGTTAGTGTGAAGAAAAGGAGCTGTGAAATACATGGCCTCATCAGTTATGGAAAGGAGGACATCCAACAGAACATTATTTTTTTTTTTCAATGAGAACATAGGCTAAAACCCCAAGCAAGTTTGCAGAATATGACTGCACAATGGTATATCTTATAAGGGTGTAGAAAGTAGGTGGAAAAAACGTCAGAGTACCTGAATGACCACTGTGCTGTTTTTGCACGATGTGCGAGATAATGGATGCCGGATTTTTGACATTACGGTTTCACATAGCCATTTCTGTCTGCTAGCAACAGACTTTGTTGACTCAGATTGGCTTGAAACCAGGTCTGCCATGCCAGATGTAGCAGAATCTTGAAACGGATCTTGCAGTGATGCAGTTGGTTCTGTGAGGAGTCAATATATATGTCAGTAAGGAGGAGGAGGCCACCAGGTCCACGTGGAGTGGACAGCAATGTCTTCAGAGAGGTTCCACTGCAGTCTCTTTCTCACTGTTCAGCAAGTTCACCTAGGAGCTGCCCCAGTTGAACTATGCTACCTATGCTGCCAGGACCCAAGAATAACTTGTGTTTATACATACATATGTGCTTATATATAAATATATACAATGTACATATATTTACATATGTGTATATATATATTGTACCACCTACCTTCCCATATATAAATATATAGAAATAATATAATATAGGAATCATATATATATATGTATATAATTATATTAACCTACACAATTGGGTTATACACATTGACTGTGGTTCATCTTTCATTCTTGAAGATGACCAGTGACATCAGGAGGGTGATATCTTGATTTGCAAGTGAATTGGATTTCAGTGAAACAGAGCTGTGCAGAGTCATCAGCCCCACTCTCTGCTCCACAGTCGTCAGAGTTCTAGGCAAGACATACATCAGGGCCACTGGAGGTTGCCCCAGAAACATTGGGAGACCTTGGCTTTTTTTAAACTAAGGTCTTTCCCAAGTCTCAGTTTGTCTAAGGCAACACCCATTCAGTGATGAAGGATACATAAGCAATGAGGCAAAAGATGGCTTTCTTTGTCTTCACAAAAGAATTCATACAGGAGTGGAAGAACCTCAGAATTTCTGACCAGAACAGAAGGTGCCTATTAAATTAAAATACACCTCTAAAACTTTAACAAGTAATATGTGAAGGGAATAACACCAGTCAATTATATCTTTGCTCTAATTAATTCATTTATTTATTTATTTATTCTAATTAATCAGTTCTTCAGGATAAAATCTTGCCAGTCACATAAAATTTGCAAGATGAGAAGAGAAAAATGTATAATACAGTCTCGGGATAATATAATCTAAACTAGGATTACATCTGGGAGGGCAGTCTTGGGTGTGCAGCTTAATAACAATCCCTAAGCTGGTAGAGAGCAACTGGGCATCACCTTCAAGAAGCAGGAAGATGACAAAGAAATGAAGGTGGGAGAAAGGGTGGTATATAACCCTAAGAACTATAAAACAGGATGCTGCTTGAAGGTCAGATCAACCAGCTGTGATATTGATAGCTATATATCACTTACCTTTTTCCGAAGTAGTCTTACAAATAATTTAAAGACCTGTAAGTAGGATCATATGATATACTAAGCTTTATCTAGAAGATAAAGAAGTTTGATACTTTTACCAAATCGGGTAAAATGAAAAAAAATATAAATCCAAAACCAATCAGTAGAAGGATCCTGTCTTATGAAATGGCTGCACTGCTATGCCAGTAGAATGTTGACATTTCCAAGAGATGGTTGCTGAGTGATGACATCACTGCTATGCCAGTAGAATGTTGACATTTTAAAGAAATAGCTGCTGAGTGATGATATCACGAATCAACTGTCAGGAAACTTGCAGTGATTTCAACTCAATTCAGTTCAACAAATATTTATTAGTTGCTTGGTGTGTTGCTAGGGATACCAAACAGAGTAAAACACTAAGGATCTGGATTCAAATTATAATTCACTACTTGTGTGTGTATGCATATCTATATTTACACAGACATATAAATGCATATACATAAATTAAATACATGCAAATGTTCATAAAATACATAGATATATACATACACATAAATATATATGTATGCACACACACATATATCTATAAATAACTTACTATGAAAACTATAAAACAGGAAATTGCTTGGAGATCAGATCACCCAGCTGTGATTTTGATGGCTATATGTCTCTTATCTTTTTCAAAACTAGTCTTACAAATGATATAAATAATTGTGAGTGGAAGTATATGATGTACTATTCTTTACTCAGTAGATAAAGAAGTCCAACATTTTTAAAAAATCAGGTAAATTAGAAAAATGCAAATTTAATACCAATCCATAAAAGGTCCAGTCTTATTAAAAGGTTGTACTGCTATGTCAATAGAAAGTTAACATTTCAACTCAATTCAATTCAACAAATATTTATTAGTTGCCTAGAATGCAGGTGAGGATATGAATTGAGTAAAACACTAAGGATATGGATTCAAATTATGATTCACCATTTGTGTATGTGTCTGTATGTGTAGTATATCCATGTACATATATGTATAAACATGTGTATATATAAATATATAAAATATTTATACTACACATACATATATATATGAAACTTACTTTAAGAACCATATGTCTCTTACCTTTTTCCACTGTAATCTTACAAATGATATAAAGATTTGTAAGTAGAAGTATGCGATGCCCTATGCTTTATCTACAAGATAAAGGAGTCCAAAGTTTTACCATATCCAGTAAAATAGAAAAATATAGATCACAGAAGAATCTGTAGAAAGATCCTGCCTTATTAAACGGCTATTCTGCTATGCCAGTAGAATGTCAACATTGCAAAGAAATGGTTGCTGAGTGATGACATCACTGCTATGCCAGTAGAATGTTGGCATTTTAAAGTAATGGTTGCTGAGTGATAATACCATGAGGATCAGTGGTCAGGAAATGTACAGTGATTTCAACTCAATTCAATTGAAGAAATATTTATTAATTGCCTAATATGTGGCTAGGGATACCAAATTGAGTAAAACACTAGGGATTTTAATTCAAATTAGTATTCACTGTTACATGTGTGGACATGAATACATTATGTCATCTCTCTTTCATTTGAGGTTTCTTTATCTGTAAAATGAGGAATACAAAGTAGAATAAATTTGAAACCCCTTCTAGTTTCATGTTCTCTACTTAAGTATCCTTATCTTCAAAGTATTGCAATCAAGTTAGGAGGAATAAGATAAATGCATAAATGGCTATAACACAGAGTATAACATGTGTCAAAGAGAGTTAAAAACAAAGTGCCATGGTTTTTCAGAATAAAGAGAGATTGTATCAACTGAGGAAGATCAAGGAAGTCTTCATGGAGGAAGCAGAAACTGAATCTTGAAAGACAGGAAGATTATCAATCAGATGTAATAGCTTTTCATGTGGTGAAATTAAAACCCTATGTAGTTTCAATAAATTATTTCTCAAAAAAAGCATTTAAATGACCCATGAAAATTCAAAACACAAGAAAAGATGAAAATTGTGTTTTAGATCATTCTATCTTTAAAAAAATTATTTTCCATTAGAAAAAGAAAACAAATAAAACGAAACAAAGAATCAAAAAACCTAAGCCCTCAATGTGACAACATAAAAATGGTTGTACATACACACTTACCATTCCATTATTTTCCAAATGACAGAAGAGATAAAGGGCACACAAATTAACAAGGAGGCACCAACATTGTCCATTGCATTAAGCAGCTTTGAAGCTATTTGACATTATCTTCTTTTATTTAGTACATATCAATGTGTAATTGCTTTTTTGGTTCTGCATTTTTTTGGAAGATCTGAGCCCAAGACAGATAAGTAGGTTTTTCCTCATTCTCTGTGGCTCATTATACTCTCAACTTGGAAAATCTCTTGAATCTTGGGTATGGCTCATGTCTGGGGTTTCCACAAAGGGGGGAGGTGGTTCCATCTCAAAAAGATACTCAATGTGAGAAGTAGTTATCAAGTACAAGACATATTTTGTTTTCCTCCACCATAAAGCAAATGCTTAAAACCAAGATGCAAAATTGAGCAGTAACAGATAATTAAAATATGAAATAATGGCCTATTTGCATTTTTCAAAATTTTTTTCAAAATCTTTTTCTGCATCTTTTGAGATAATCACATGATTTCTTTTAATTTTGTTACAGACATGGTTAATGATGCTCGTAGTTTTCCTAACATTCAAGCAGCCCTGTATTCCTGATATGTCCCACCTGGACATAGTGTATTATCCTTGTGATAAGTTGGTCTAATCTCTTGGCAAATATCTAATTTTAAATTTTTGCCTTATATTCATTAAGGAAATTGTTCTATAATTTTCTTTATTTTGGCTCTTCCTGGTTTAGGTCTCAGCACCACATGTGTACTATAAAAGGAATTTGGCATGACTCTTTCTTTGCCTATTTTTCCAAATAGTTTCTATAGTATTGGAATTGTTATTAAATGTTTGGTAGAATTCACTTATAAATCCATTTGGCTGGGAGATATTTTCTTAGGGAATTCATTGATGGCTTGTTCAACTTCTTTTCCTGAAAAGGGGTTATTTAGGTAATTCATTTCCTCTTATTTGGGCAATTGATATTTTTGTAAATATTCACCCACTTCACTTAGATTGTCAGATTTCTTGGCCTACTATTTGAAATCAAAAGGATTATGGACTGCGCAGTACTTTCACTTTAGGTTCGGATCTCAAGATATAATGACGTGCATTCAGTATAAACTTAACAATTGCATTTATTTTACAATGATTAATAATGATTAAGGCAACACAAGCAAATAAAGATAAGAATATCATTCAATACAATAAGTAATAATCAAAATCAAGAAAAGGGAGAATAAGAAAAGAAAGGATACACACTCACTGACCAGGTGAGCTCAGATACCTACAGTAGCAGCGACTCTGGAGACAGTAGAGAGATCTGATCAGGGAGGCAAAGGAGCAGTGCCCTGCTCCTACTCAACAGAAGCCGTGCATGCGATCTGCTTCTGACAACAACAGAGACTCGGTGTCCCTATCTCTGACATCAAAGTACTCCAAAAAATCCCCTTTCAAATGCCCCTTTTATATCTATGTAAACCAGGGAAAAACAATTTTAATATTCTGTTTTGTGTGTGTATCCTTGGTGAGCGCGCAGGTCCAGGACAAGCACACATTTTAACAAAGTTTGGAGCTTGATCAGAGCCCTAAATACCTGTTTGTTGTGTAAATCTCCAAGGAGGTATCAAGTCCTTGGACAGTTACACACTTCTCTCAAGAAAAATGTTCCTTGAGATAAGAATTGGTTTCCCAGGTAACATAGCTTGTTGGTTACTTAATGTTCCATCTGCATGGTACCCTCGGCCATGCATGTTAACTCCAATTTACACTCTTTATGTCAGGTCATGTGGCGGTAACATGAGGGACTGGGGAGGATCTATCTCCTCAGTCTCCCTCACACCATTGATCAAAATATCTCTTAATCATTGTTTTAATTTCCCCTTCATTAGTAGTGAATTCACCCTTTTAATTTTTGATACTGGTAATTTGATTTTCTTTTTTTAAATCAAATTAACCAAAGGCTTATCTATTTTATTGTTTTTTTTTCCCCATAAAACCAACTCTTAGTTTTATTTATTAGTTCAATTGTTTTCTTAATTTCGATTTTATTAATCTCCCCTTTGGTTTTCAGAATTTCTAATTTGGCATATTTTCAATTGGTTCTTTTTCTAGCTCTTTTAGTTGCATCCCCAATTCTTTGATCTCTTCTTTCTTTATTTTCTTCACATAAGAATTTAGAGATATAAAACTTTCTCCAAGGACCACTTTTATTACATCTCATAATTTTGATGTGTTGTGTCATTATTGTCATTCTCTTAGATGAGGAGTCTTCTTGTCTTTCCCCAGCAGTCCTGCATGGTCAGTATGGACTGGATCAACCGCCCTTTTGAAGTAGTATTTTCAAGTAGGAAATTGCTTCAAGGGGCACTTCATCAATGCTGATTGACTTAACTTCACAGTTGAACTTACTAACTGTGCTGCTAGGAGCCAAGAAGGTGAGCTTTATTTCTAAAAAGATCATCAAAACACGATGTTTAGATTGTAACCGTTACAGTAACTTGTGTTTATACACATATACACATGTGTAAATAAACATAAATAATGCACATATATTTACACATGTACATATAGACTGTATCACCTAGCTGCCCATATAAAAACATTTATAAATATATAAATAATATAATATATGAATCTTATGCACATTATATTATTACATTAACCTATACACTTGGGTTATAGGTATTGATTGTAGTTCCTCCTTCATTCTCAAAGGGAACCAGTGACAACAGGAGTGTGATGTCTTTACTATCTGCTTCTGTTTTATGGGAGAGTTCATCTCATTCACCTTCACAGTCATGATTATTAACTGTGTCTTTCTCACCATCCAATTTCCCCACCCCGTTTATGCTTTGATCTCTCTTCTCTCCCTTTCCCTTCTCACCAGTGTTTTCTTTCTGACCATGGCCTCCCTCAATCTGCCCTACCTGTTATCAGCACCTTGTCCCCCCTTTACCCAACTATTTCTTCCCTCCCTTCTGCCCCACTTCTGTCCACCCACCCTCCTTTTTCTTTCCCCTTTCCCCTCCTACTTCCCATAGGGAAAGACAGATTTTATATCAAATTGAATGTGTATGTTATCCTTTCTTTCAGCCCAATCTGATGAATAAAGTTCAAACAATGCTCACTTCCCTCACTTATTTTTCACCCCTATAATCGGCCTTTGTGTCCCTTCATGTGATGTAGTTTACCCTTTTTTGCATCCTACTTTTGTCTTCTCCCAGTACAATCATTTTTTATACCTTAATTAATTTTTAAACTTCACATCAAAGTCAACTTAAACCCACACTCTGTCTATATATACCCCCTTCTAAATGTCATCATGAAGATGCAGTTCTCAAAAGTTACAAAGAATCATCTGCCATGTAAGAAGTTTAACTTTGATGAATAACAAGCTTTTTTTCTTTCCTATTTGCCTTTTTATGCTTTTCTAGAGTCTTCTATTTGAAAATTGAATTTTTTTTCACCTCTGTATTTTTTCATCAAGAACATTGGAAGTCCCCTATTTTGATCAATGTCCATCTTCTCTCCTGAACGAGAGTGCTCAATTTTTCTGGGTAGTTATTCTTGGTTGCAATCCAAGCTCTTTTGACTTGCAGAATGTCATAATCCAAGCCCTCTAATCCTGTAATGTAGAAACTGTTAGGTCCTGCATAATCCTGACTGGTTCCATGGTATTTAAATTGTTTCTTTCTGG